TATCTAATGGTATGAAGACTATCTATCTTCACTCTAAAAAATATGCAACTTAAATGAACACCTTTTTCATGCAAGGTAGTATACAATCACATTGCTTATTTACATATGATTGGAAACTCATGCTCTTGTTGAAACATATAGATGATGTGAGTTAAAAGATCGATAAGTTTGTTAAAACAAGAAACAAATCAGTCCATATTAACACAAACAATGGTACTATAAATTAAAACATAGCAGTGGGAAGAATGATAATATTTTCAAAAGTACTGCGTAGATTGTAGGCAGAATCTATGGGCCAACAGAAGAAGAGGAGATGTGAACTCTTGTCATATTACTATAGAATGATAATTTCTCATTTACCTCTTATCCATATGTCACTTTTACACATTACAAGATGCAGCCATATGCATCACACATGGAAGGTATGATAAAAAAGAGCCAAGAGTGACCATCTAATGTCAATAATGTTATAGCATCTATCTACCCCATGATGATAAACCCACATCTTCAGGCCAAAAGATAGAGATAAAAAGTATTCTTGTACGTAGGGTAGAATTGGAAGTTCTCTACTTGAATAATTTTGATGTTTTTTGAATCTACACGTGACCCCATTTACGGTGGTCCTTGTGTCATTGTATTTGAGGAAGGTGGTCCATCCATGCGGTCTACAGCTAAGTTATAAAAAACACTAAACAACCTTGGAAGAAGACGAGTTGACGTAAACCCACCCTGGGGCATAAGAGAGAGGGAAAACACTGCCCCGCAAATCGGGGCGAAAAGTTCTTCGATTGGAAGGTCTAACATGTACGAAGAATGAATTCTGACGTAATAAATCGGTGACGCAACTGCGGCCACTTTCGCTTCCTGAGCGCTGGGCTCCCGGGATAAGAGCCGGAGCTTATTAAGTGTCATATTTCGCCACCCGGAACAGCTGCGGCCACTTTCGCTTCCTGAGCGCTGGGCTCCCGGGATAAGAGCCGGAGCTTATTAACTGTCATATTTGGCCACCCGGAATAGCGGCAGCGACTTTGCCAAGATCCACCCAGCATCTATATATTACAAAAGGAAAGGCAAGCCCGTCTGATCGGATACAAGGCAAACAGTGAAGTAATTTGTAGAACTGCTGAGTCTCTGATTGGAAGGTCATAGCATGAGTCATTCCATATAGCTGAAAAACTTTCTGAAGTTTTGCTCAAGTTACCAAGATACATTCAGATTTATAGTTTATTGTTAAAACATCGCACACAAGTTAAACAGTTTAATCCTTCTAGATTGGATCAAGGAGCATTGACAGGGGACAAACTGGCGCGGTGCACAATCTACAATTTCCATATCCTATGAAGTATCAAATGAATGATGAACATAATGAGAAACCAAGGATTGGTAGGATGTCAAAGGTATAAACCAATTGTTTTTCTTGTAACTGGAAACTTACATTTTCTAGTAAAGTGTAGTGATTAGAAATACTAACATAGTTTGCTAGGATATTTCATAAGTTCGCTCACAATAAATTCTACTTATATCTCCGACTCACATTGCAAGAGAGTTTGTCAATTCTAAGGGATGTATAAAACGGTCAAAATGTCGTCTAATCAACACCAAGAAAGTTGAAAACGGACTTAAATGGAATATCTCCTCAGTTATAAATCTGATCTTTTTGGTAGACATGCTCCACTGTTTCTTCCTTTATGTATTCTTGAAGGTAAATAAAGTACTTGAAAGGAATAAAACACATGTAAATATTACAGTTAAATCGCCGAAAGACTTTGTAAATGTTGGTGGCAAATCAAAATATACTCACTCCAAATCACATATACTAACTAATGAATTTTAGCAAACCATGAATGACATTTGGACTACTACATGTGAAATAGAATGAGAAGTTAATGTCAAATGTAGTGATTAATTCATAAAAATACAAAATCCAATCAAATGTATTTGTCATGTTCTCACACGCTTTTGCATTATTTGTTGCGCTCACTATTCTTCACATTATCAATTTTGTGAGACTTGGATTCAGTTTAAGATTGATTAACTTATACATTTCTTTTTCACATACATCATACATTTCCTAATATGTTCTTAATTATAAGATTTTACAATTTTATTATCATCAAAATGTATTCAATAGATATATTCAATTTCCATTGTAAATATGAATATTAAAAGAAGATGAGAATAGAAAAATACAATTTTGGTTAGAAATAACAAATTTTCAAACTAGATCTAATAAAAATTTTATAGAAGAATTCATCCAAATCTTACAGCTATGTGCTCCAAGTAATACAAAAGAAAATAAAATTTATCTACCTTATGGAGTGCTAAAGCAAGGAAGGACTTAACCTTCATGACTTTGTTTTTTGGAAAAAGATGAAAAGATAATGAGATGCGGTGTTTATCAAAACTAAATGACTGCATTTCAACCAATTATGATCAGCTGAATTAAAAAGATATGTACATTTGTGAAACAATGAAAATACTCGTCATAATTGCAGGCCTAATAAATTCTGGAAAATGCCAGGTTTGCAAGAATTAAATTATTTTTGGCATTTGACTGAATTAGGATAGCTCTATTCTGATGATTCCATAGAACTTTCATATGTGTTTTGATCGGAGTGAATTTGACTCGGTTGTTCTTCGATCTTTGCAATTTCAATCAAATGTGACAAAATGAACTAAAAGCAATACTAAATTGATGGTTAGTGGCATAAACAAAGATGAATTGGATCATGAAAAATTCATGTTTCCAGTCTATGATTAGAAATCATATATTGGACGAAAATAATTGACTTGAACGTTTTCAATTCACTATGTTTCGTCCAATGGATTGGAGATAATTGATTTGAGAATTTCAAATTAATTTTCATGAATAAAAGAAAGGTTTGTCAGGTTGGTGCGGCAGACGTCTTTATTTGCAGTCCCGATTTGCCGAGACCACCTCACGATTTTCAATCACGTTATTTCATTATACTCCATTTTCAAACGCATTGCACTCCCTATTTGCTCAAACCAAACTCGAAATTAAGAAGACTTTTCGCCATGAAGCAATTCACGACTCCCGATTTGCCAGAATCGGACTCGAAAGCACGGAGGCTTCTTGCCATGAAGCAGTTCACGACGGGTTTCGTCGAAATCTCCTACCCTCCTCCCCTTAATGACTTTCCCTTCGAGCATCCAAATTCTTTGCAACTATGGGCGTGCGCAGGAGCTCTGGTGGCCCCTGTGGCAATTTGGCCATATTGATTCTGGCAAAGTGGCCAAATTAATACTGGAAAATCTGGAATCTAAAAATAGAACATCAAATTTTATGAGGCCTGCATAATCGTTAACCAAAACATTATGTCATATCACCAATTTGCTCACATGACATATACTTTGAATGTGTAATCCCACTTGGACAGATTCTCACACCTGTTACACTTAAAATTTGTCATCATTGAAGATATACAGTAAATAAATTTAATCCTTAAGTGTTCTATGAAATGTATTTTTTATTTGAGTGCATGTCTTTCTTTTCCAACATATTTTGACTACAATAGAAAGAAGTCATGTCATTAGATGCGTAACTTTACCCATCTCTTCTCGTTGTTAGAATTTACCTTTTGTATTCACTATCAGTAGTAGTGTTATCAGGTTTGTAAATGGTCCCTACACATACTCATTATCGTAAAAGAAGTAAGAATAATGTGGCTTGCCAAGTTTAGTACATCCCTGTTATTTCTCCTCTCTCTCTCCTCCTCGTCTCTCAGGGGAATCGTCGGATACTACATTCTTCCCAATTTATAGTTTTTGAAGTCAATATGCTTCCTTGAGATACTACTCCAATGGAGTGTCATGAGATTGCGTACAAATGTCGTGGGTACCTTCGAACACCTCAGGCAAACATATTCTAGGCGTGTGATATTCAAACTTGATAGGCAGAGCAATTGGTATCCCACATCATGCGACATTTGAGAATAATGTAGCTAGGTTCATAACTAGGTTCATAGCTAGGGTAAACAGCTCCTCGACGGTAAAAGTTGTTGATATATGTCGGACACGAGGCGCTTGAAGTAGGAAGTGCGGGTGCCCACCGAAATCAGTATCAAGGTACCTCCACGAAGGTGTTTGTGCAGGCAGCTCCAATCCTTTAGACAGTGTTTCTCCAATTTTTTTGCGCTAGAATTCGAGTACCACGATGACGACGGCTTTCGTCATTAGAGATTATATAACGTGTAAACGCGTCTGGATCTGTTAGTCTGCAATAGCACTCCTCTCCTGCACCGCGTAATAAAATGAAATGCGAATTTCACCCAGATCCGTTGCTCCACTATCCATCGTTGTAGGAGTTCCAAAAACTTCGTCAATTTGTCAAAACTTGGACGTCAGTCGGGGTGCCATGCATGTCTCCTCGGACCTGTGAAAGAAGGCCTCCTGTTCCCTAAGGTTAAGGTACTAAGGGCAGCTTTGCTGTCTTCCCGATCTACTGAACCTGATCCGACCAGGCTCTTCTAGCTTCATTCGGGCTTATTAACTTGGACTCAGACATAAGTTCTTGTCATAGAATGTAAACATGAAGTCGAAAGCGATAATCTCTATGTATGGGACACTCCGTTGTAGGCAACAATATAAGGAAACAGGAATTAAAATAGAAGTATGTCAGCATAAAAGACAGCAGTAAGTTCGTCGTAGACAGTACGGCAGTCAATTGTAAAAAAGTAACGTGTTCCAAATGCTGTTACGTTGAAAAGAATGATATTTAGAGCGGTGCATGTCATATGATTGAGCCACCTCAGAGCAAGGAAAAAATACTTCTGTCAATTTTCCCAGCTGGTCACTAGTGCGGCTCTTTGAACCAATCATACCATGGAAAATACTAGGCCAAGATATAATGAATCAATTTCCAATTCTGTTCAGAATAGTTCGTCCCTCTCAAACCAGTGACCACGGATTAGAAGTAACAACAGATATGAAATTCAGATAGATATGTGCAGTAAACATGACAGCAGTGTGAGTTCTTTCAGTCATATTTGTAGGAGAAGGTAAGCTTAGGCACTCTTGGAGGAAAATATTGAATGTTGGTTACACACCCTTATGGCTCACTTCAAATGAACGGAATAAAAAAAATTTGCACGGTTTTTTTTTCTGTAAAAATGTCATTTGAACCCATCGAAAGACGCGTATTGAGCTATATACTCTACGTTCTCGTATTCTGCATACGGGCTTTGAGAAATGTTGCAACTCAACATCGGTGCAACCAAGGTATGGGAGGTAAATTGAATGCTTATAAATCCATCCCCCACACAAATATCAGGTGGGGGTCTATAATCTATCGCGGAAGGGCAGTGAAGACAGCTCGGCTCACGATACCTGTGGCCTCGATGTAACGTTCGACACATTTGGTGATACAGCTACTCTCGCTCCCACTCAGACTGGTACTGGGCTTTGGTACACATTTTGTGAAGCATTTGTCTCGGACAGTCTGCAACTCATAAGACACATACAATATATGTTACTGCTGGAAGCTGTGTGCCCTGAAATACTCCGGCTTTTCAACACCACATTACTACTACAGAATGTAAACTGCACACCTAAGCTCGTAAGGATCACTCGAGCCGTCCACGCCAAGATAGAAACTCCTCTAAAGCTTGGCATCAACAAACAAGCTGCACTTAGCCACCGTTGTATACTTCATGACAGGAAGATACTCCCGGTCAAGAAGCGTAGGACTGTTTAGAACTGCACACTTCAAGACCTACCGAAAAAAACTCCTCGGCATAGGCTTGCGCAAGTTGCTGTTTTAGCTGGCCCATCATATGCTCGTTTGAGGCTTGAGTTCCTGACAGTGAAGAAGGAGGTGCTCCAAAGGGATCCATGACTACTCACACCCTGAAGAGATATTGTTCCAGCGCGAAAATCCTCGAAGAACCGGCGCTGTCTGAAAAGTTTGCATCCAGTTATACAGAAAGTGAGAATCACGTATGCAGGAGTTGAGGAATCCTCCAGCCAGTAAAATTAAAATGACCTTAACTTCATAATTTCACGGCCTGTCAACCTTTGAAGTCTACGTGGACTTCACTCAAAATCACAACTCTACAAACATCCAATGACCCTATGAATATGAAGTTTGTACAGAGGAGGTTTCAGATGAGAGCTGGACATGATGTGTCTCACAGATACTCTTCTTAAATCCTAATATAGAATGCTCGTCACTCTTTTCGATGACACAGTATAAAAGAATCGAAAAAATCAAAATTTTCTCGATTTCTTTAGCGAAATGAATGTGGATGTGATCTGGCTTAGATTAGAATTCAGTGTTACATATCGTCAATTAAATCAAACATTACATTCCAGACCAAATTGAGAACGCTAGATTTGAAAACGACAACCAAATCAGCTACAAGGAATTCCAGTGAGTAAGTCAAGAAACGACAGCTTCGCTTGAAAGCAAGCTCGAAATGTATTCAAGATTATACGTCTAAGTAATCAATTTCAGTTATATCGTCACCTCTACGACCAGCTGCCCCGCACAAAAAACAAAACTAAAGAAACTTCGTGAGTCTAGACGGTGAGGAAAAGTTCCCAAAGAACTCAATCAGAAGGCTGTGAACACCAATCCGAAACACGTCAGCCAGCTTCCGCAGAAGACATAATTCGACTTTTCGATCTGAATATGAATTCTTGATTTCTCCCGATCGACATTGGAAGCGTAAGGATAATAGGCTGAAGGGTTACTCGCCTCGTCACAATGTCGAGAAGTGCTTCAACAATTGTCAAAGGCTGATTCCTTTGCGTGCCCCAGTACCGCACTGTGCGTCACGAAGCTTAAACCACGACCCGGAAATCGTTTCCGGAGATGTGGATGCACCGTGCAAATAAGATGTTCTGCATATACTGTACTAGGGTTTTGCAGCCTAACCTTCGACATTCAAAAGTAGACGAGATACGTCTGTGGTCCTAGTCAAAACATGGTTCAGTTCAAAGACAGGGGACAGTCTCTCATCTTTTCCAAAGCACACACATCTAAACTAGTGGAAGAATATATAACTAAGGATAAGCAAATAAAGTCATAATAAATACACATAATATCAAATTAATCAGTAATTTTCATCTAAATATTATAACACATCTGAAACCATTGATGACATATAATTTACATTGTACAGTTAATGGATTATTTTTTAAATAGATGGATTGTTTTAATCCCATTTCTTATATTTTCACTCGATTTGCATATAGTTTTTATATTTTGACACCATCCAAATTATGAATAATATATTTCTTGATAATTAAAAAATATTTTTTCAATTTAAAACTATATTTCAAAAAATAAAAATGAAAAATAATTTTTTAAAAGGGTGAAATGAAAGAACAATCCCGATAATTTTCATACATTGAATATAAAAGAAGAAAAATATCCAAGAACTAATTGGCAGAAATTGAAACCTTGAAACATATAATTCATATTTAAAATAGAATAATAACTTTATTTAGAGAAGAATATATTTAAATGAAAATTGGATAATTTGAGGAGCCTATAAATTATAACAAAAGATAAAGTTATCAAAAAAATTTAGAAATCACAATTTGAAGATGAGCATATAATATTTTCAACCCAAATAAACCTTGATGCTTTCAAAGTTAGAAAGTTTATATATGAATTATATAAAAAAAATAGTTTTAGCATTTGGATATATATAAGAAGAAAAAAGAAAAATATCCAAATATTATTTGGCAGAAAATGATACCTTGAGGATATAATTCATATTTAAAATAGAATAATGAAGTTTTTTGAAGAAAAAAATTTCAAGAATTAAATTGTATAATTTGAAGGGTTGATAAATTACAATAAAACATAAGGCTATGAAAGATATTTCAAAATCACAAATTGAAGATGACGAGATAATATTTTCAATGTACTTAAACCTTGATGTACTCAAAGATATAAATCTTAGACATGAACCACCTGAAAAATGAATTTTAGCATTTGGATGGATGTCACATCCATATTGAAGTAATTTTGAAACTTGAAATCCGATTAAAATCATTTCTTTCTATCTAAAATTTAAAAGGCAGCCGGAAATTTGTGAAATTAATATAAAATTAACCTTTAATGAAAACTATGATCTAAACCTTTGAATCCTTCTAAAATATAGTTTTCAACACCAGGAATAAATTGCAATATGATCCAACGGTTCGTTTAATACTGGTAGAATTAGATGTTTAGAATAGAGTCAAATTTGTTATGTTGGGCTTCTTTTTGATATGTCTAGTGTTGGAACATGTGTTATATGATGGAGGGGGTATGGGGAAAAACAATTACCTGGATTGGAATCTATTTATAGACGTGAGATAATTTATAAACTATTTATAGCCGTATATGCAGGTTATTAATTAATAGTGAATGGTAACGAATGTAATCAATTAATGAACTAGATATCATATCTTCTTAAAAAATAAGTCTTTATTATTCATACGTCTTTTTCTAGTATAGCTTGATATATATCTTGCATCTTACTCATCATCTGCCACTTTATTTTTGAATTGAACAGGACTTCTGGAAGATTTACTATATTCCTTAAGGAACAGAAATTACAAAAATGGATAAAAAGCGTCGAAAGAATTTACTAAAGATGGACAGAAGTTGTAAGTCAAACATCAATTAAGATACATCTGGTTGAACCACCCTTATGTTAAATTCTGACATTATTGATCAAGTTCAAATATCACCTGCAGTTTAGTTTTAAAAAATGATTACAAGATACGATCGTACACGTTGCAGTTGTTCAGATTGAAGAATTGGAAAATATGTAATATGTGTCAGCCTTTTTTAGGGACGCGGCTTCAAAAAGGTTTGATGTTGCGCTACGTGTTTTTCTCGCTGCGGAGAACGCAGGGGCACTTTTAGTGTTCAAATCTTGAGCTCCCTAGACCGAAGGCAATATAAGCGAGTTTGTGCAACTAAGCCTTATAATGTTATATAAGGCTTCCTGTTTACTACGAAGGGGTTGTCCCATCTTCTCCACTAAATACCTCGGTTTCCCACATCTGTTTCACGTGGCCCATGCACAACAGAACCACGTGTTGAAGTGAATTAAAAAGAACTGAGGGTCGATGTAGCCACAATTAGGAGTGAAGTGCGCATGGATTCCTACAGATCATAAGTGACTAGAACCGATTGGCAAGGTAACCATCAGTTGTACTATTCATGTGTCCTATCGAGAGGACTCAGCGATTTCAAAGACCAAATTACCAATTTACTGCTACGTGTCAACGATGGGTGTTGATGGACCTAACCTTTAATATTCAGCCGAAATTTGAGTAGCCCATGCTGTTAACTGTAAGTGCAAGTGTCTGTTATCTTTAGTATTCTAAAGGGTCGTGAGACAAAACTCATTCTCTCTGCGAACTTTCCACTGATTCATCATTGAAGCATGCGATGGTTGTCGGCTGAAAAATATGTAAAAGTTCGGTGACAAGAACCGAGGGTACAATGTTTACTCCCTCCATTGTTGATCACAAATCTCAACAAGCTTTCAAACTTTAAAGCCCAGGACGGCAGCAATAGCTACAGTCACTTTCGATACTCTACGAAAGCCCACAGGACATAACAAAACAATATCTAATCCGGTTCACATTATGATGATTAAAATATCGCAATGCCTTATATTATAATTTATGAAAGTTGAACGCTGGAGAGATAATGATTCCATCCCAAGCACACGACAAATCGTTACGCTGATGGACAGACATGGTGAGACTAAACGTACGATGTGACTCTGTAGAGATATACTAGACGCCCAGTCAAGAAAAGATTTGCGCAATCTAGGTGCGGATCAAGATTCATCTCCGTATGAACTCCAATAGTTGGTGCTAATGTAGCTTAAAGTAGATAAGAATATTGAAACATGGAACATGAGGCTAAGTGTTTCACATGTTTCATGACATGGTCAATATCCATTGATTTATGCAATAAAACTCCATGGCTCGTAATGATGCAGAAAAAAACATGTGCCAACATCTAATCATATATCCACATATGGCATAACAGATCTACTGGAATATGAGTTTACTACAATGGCATCGAGTACAAGACATTCAAATGTCCAATAGCAATACACCGCTGCAACTGACGTACGAAGAACTGTACCCAGGTGAAGAGAAGTGAAGACGGAAAGTACTCAACTATACACGTATTGAAAACATTAAAACCGAAAAATCCTACCCCATTCCTCCACGACTTAACTCTATTTGCTGGAGTCAATTCCCCATTCCACCTGACTAAATCCAGAATTTAAAACCACCCCTTGTCTGTTGGTCTCGGATTACTAAAAACCAAATTCGCTAGACCTAGAATATATCTTCGGGCAGTGTAAAAATTCTACCTACCTTCATCAATCCAAACCCAATTCAGATGCAATCATCTGACATTGTTAAGAAGCACGGATAGCAACGCAGATCCATACTACCAGCCAACACTTCTGGAATATAAGATAAAACAGTGACATTGGATTTGGTAGCTGAAACGGCTAAGGAGCTCGTGAACAGGTAGGACAGCTTAAGCTTTTAGGTTCTCGAAACCAACCATCTACTTGTAGATTTCATCATCTTCTAAGAAATAAAGCAGAAGCGGCGCAATAGTTAGCAACTATGTAGAAGTTGACATCTCTGGTATCAAGCTTGCCAAATTGACTTCCTCGTTTTCGTATCTCCTCAGAAAAGGATGGTTCTGCGCAGCAGAGTCAACCATTGTCAGAAACCATCACATCAAACTTTCCTGTATCTAGTTCCTTGTAATCAGACGTTCTACTAATATATGCTAGGGCAGAAAGCTCTATTACAAAAATATGTAAGGGGCTACAAACTATTGCCCATTTTCCAGCAGGGAGTGTAGACGTGAGATATTTTTAGTCACAGGACTAGGTACATGACAATCCAACATAGACTCTTCCCTTCTCTTGCAGACTTTGTATTAACGTCCACACGTCACTCTATAGGAGTTAATATAAGAAGTACATCCTCACGCCAGAGAAAAAACAAAAGTTATTAGGAGGATTTCTAACCAGGAGATCTGCTGCCGACATTCGCTCTCGCGGCTCCTTCTGCATGCTGAAACAAAAACCCCAAACGTAGAAACTCTCAAATAATCATAGATATTCAACCAGTTTCAACTAATTTTGAGCAAATAGCAGGAACTGAGCTGAGACAAGCAAGCTCCGATCCAGCTGGACTTGTTACTCCGACCAAAGATGATAGACAACGAATACAATGAGAACCGATTTCGGAATTTCTCTGATCTAGCACTAGCAGAAGATGACTTTCACTGGAAGAATGAATGACGGAACGCTAATATACTTACCAAGCGGCGATAAAAGAGCAAAATTCAGGAGAAAATCGACCGGGTGGAGCAACAGGTGGTGGTTGTTCAACAATGGTTTGTAAAAGCTCATAAAAGTTGCTCCATCCCTCCTCATTTCCAGGGGGCTGGTAGGGAAAGCGACCGAGAGCGCATTCCAGTAAGGTCAATCCTAAGCTCCAAATATCACTGTCAAATCCATATGTGCTCCCGCTAATTCTTTCTGGCTGCAATTCAACACACCTCCAACCATTACAAAGGCTTTGAACCAGTGAAACTGTTTCTGTGCTGGGTCACTTCGAGAAGAAACCTGAACGCTTTACTAAAAAAGCACTAAAAACTCCCGAAGCAATTGTCACTTCCACTAAAGACCAGACAAATACATAACAAAGCTCTGCAACACGAACATCTGACGAGTATATATCATTATAATATGTGAGAAGCTGGATTGAACAACTTACAGACATATAAGTACATGTACCGACAAAGGTGTCTCGTTGTCCCATGGAGTTGGCCAAATCGGCACTCACGCCAAAATCAGAAATCTTAACGTCGCCGTTGTGGTTAACGAGAAGGTTAGATGGTTTGATGTCCCGGTGAATGATGTGACGATTATGATGCAGGTAAATCAATCCCTGCAGGACCTGTGGATGTAGTAAACAACAATAAGATCCGGGAGATCTAAAAATGGTGTCTAAATAACTCATTGGCACGTCATCAACGTGACATTTGTACACCAACGATTAAAGTTCACTTTCACAGAATGAGATGAAAGTAATTACGCACCTGCTTACTGATGACAGCCAGATACGGTTCTGGGACTTGAGATCTCCTGACTATATCTGCCAGAGACCCTCCATCCATGTACTCCAACAAGATTGATATTACTCCATTGTTGTAGAACGCATCATAGTATACAACGACATACTGACACTGAGCAGACTGGTTGATTCTAAGTTCCTGCACAATCTGTCTGCGGACAGTTTCTTGGATATTCATTTGGATGATCTGAAAGCATGGACACACAGCCTCGGCCATCAGGAGTTGTAAACAAAACTCTCCGACGTAAATAAGTGCTACTTCACATCTCCCATCTACGTACTGTCAATCATTTGCGCCAAAAAAATAAATTTACCAACACAATCCGCCACAAACAGAGACTATTATCGTTTCCAGAATCTAATTGACTATCGAATACTTTTAAAGAGCGGCCAAGAAGCAAAAGTGAAATGGAAACGTCGTGGCACCTTACTCACAAGTGAATAAAAAACATATATTCATCACAAAGAAGTGCTGTAACTCATACAAACCTTCAAAGCAAAAATTTGGTTCGTCCATTTATGACGTACTAACTGAACCACACCACTGCTTCCCTTGCCAATCACTTTCACAGTTTCCAGATCTTCCAATAACATTTGGCCATCTGAGGCAGCCTGTGCAATAAGTTCCAAATGAGAAGAACAGCTAGACAACGGGAGCCTGGTAAGGTATCAGAAAATCGGAAAAACTACATGAAGAGCAGCACAAATCCTGGGTGAGAGACCATATAATACTACAAAACAATGTTCTAGCTTTTAACAGTTCACGCCAAAGCGACACAAAGACGGAGGAAGCAAATAACCGATAGGCGATTTAACAGGAGGTTCAGACGATTATTCACAAAGACAACGTAACCTACCGTAGGAGTAGGCTCTGCTGCGGCAGAGGGATTTGCAAGCCGTAGTCCTGATCTGTTCAACAAAATGTCGCCATCCTGAAATGTCCCACTAGCCGTCCTGTAGTCCAATATGATACATGTGTTAATACGGGGAAATACTGCAAGGCCTTGTCCCAATTCGTTTGCTGGATACTCCAGACCATGCAGGACATCGGATTCATTACAAAGATAATATGAAAAGACAAAAAGAACGGCCAGAATTTTACGACCAGCAATCTGATCTCGTGACAGAAAGTCATACATACACGACTGTCATAGACCATCATCGGCATTCCAGGATCAAAAATGTGAGTACTGTAATCGCCTCTTTATTATTTCCATAAATCTGAGCAAATTTATCCTCGTGGTTAGGATCGCATAGCAGAACAGCTAAAGACATGCAAAACTTAAAATTAAAACATAGGTCAACAAGTTCAGAGAGTGATGAGATTCCAATCTCCAAAGATACCACAAATGTGATGCGATTAATGGCAAGAAAAATGAGAGAGAGAAAGAGAGTGAGTATCACACAATCCGCATGCCTACTAACAGAGATTCGGTCCCTATATCAAAAGTCTCGCTCGTTGTGAAGTGAGGGAAACACCCGTAGAATCGGCCACTCATATTAAGTAACATATGCAAACCAAGTGTACGGTTAGACCAAAAAATATGACCAACATGGCTTCAATGTACGTTCGAATCTGAGGGGACCCTTAGACCATCATGGCCTCGAACAGGAACTCCGAGGAAGTTTTAATAGCAGACTCCCGACGAATCTAATACCGATCATGAAATTGGTAACAAGAACTAGGACTGGCTTAGATTAGATGCACCTTGTTCAAGGTCAGATATGGAACGATTTGACCTTTCTTTTCGATTCAGGATAAACTCCACAAATCTCAAAGGTAGGAACAAAGTAGTCAACCAGTCCAATTCGCAGCTTCGACAATACATACAATATCTGCCAACGAACAGAAAGATAATGCATGCAAAGTTGGCTTCACAATCAGCCCAAGTACCTTAACCTTGTTCATTCAGCTCGCAGTCGATGATCTTCGACTGCGAGTCCAGCTCAAATGTTTCAGGAAAGGTCACAGACCTAAATTTACATCGCGTCATCTATCATGTCCAAACAAGTGTACAGCACTCACAAGAAATCGGAGATTTGCGTTTCCTGTCGGGGAACAGTCACTCGGAGCTTAGGATTCTTCGTCATTTGGTTCGCTTCAGAGTTCAACCACTGCCAGAATCACTCCCGATCATTCACACACCGTCACTTGCCATGAGCCAGCTCTTATTCCGTCGCGCGTCTCCGGGACAAAACCTTCCACCCACTGAGCAACACTGCTCAAAAGCCTCTTCTTCCTGAAGGGGCTGGCCTCCCTAGCTCACGGGTCTGGTCAAAATGTCAAGCAACCAGCTCCGTCTGAACATTCGTCGCGGCAGGGTCGACCCTCAATTCCCCGACTCCCGGTGGAATATTATCACACACACACGGGCCCCGTCCCCGCTCTCCCCAATGGACTTTTGTAGCGATTTTCTATCGTGATCTGACTCTCTGCCCGCGCGCTCCCTCGCGCCCTCCCTCGCCACCACCCCTCTCGAATACTGCTGCAGGCAAGTACACGACTCGGCTCGGCTCCACTGCCGGGCCAGCCGAGGACTTTTTTACCTCTGCTCGTGCCGCTACTCTTCCCCTTGCTTCCAACAAACTACTGTACGCTCCCAAAAGCTGCAGCGAAAATTCCAGCGACTCCACTCCACCGCCCGCGCGCCCTCCCCCAGACCCACCCGCTCCTCCTCATCCCCCTCCTCTTCCCTTCCGCGCTCCGCTCCTCTCCGGTCCCAGCTCCCGACAGCAGCAGAGTCAAACTCTGCTTCGTCAGTCAAAGCTGTCCTGCCTGCTCCTCACCCGATCTTTTGCTTCTCCTGTTTACCGTAGATGGTACGTACGCTGTATGGGCCTAATCCCTCGCTGCCAGCTACGATTGTGCCGCTAATCACGCTTTTCGACACTGTCCTTCGTCACATTATCCTCCTCCTCAGAGCTGACGACGTCGGATTAGGCTCGTCCGCCGTCTCTGCCTTGCAAATCTTCACGTTCCGACTTTTGCAGTCCGTTCGGCTTCGGTCACGAATCGCTGAGCGCTGCCACGCGATGAACGGATGTGACCGTACTTCTGTTCGTATCGAGGCGACAGAAGTCAGACCGCTCGGTTACATTTGACGAGAATCGGCCCATTTCCACAATCCGAGCCCCGAGCTTCTAGATTGAACGGGGACATCAACGGATCAACGGGTTGATACGCGGAAGTGCACACCTGTGGCAGCAAACGTCAACGTGCCAAATATTTCAACGCCCGAACGGCACATGTTTCTTTTAATCAATGCCCTAATCTTGATTTCAGTCCCACCGAAAAAGATAAGGAAGTGTTTTTTGGAACATCCCAAGCCTTCTTCATGACTTGACGAATGGGTCAGCAATCTTTCTTTTCTTTCTTGTTTTTTGGGGTCAGCTTTCCGCACGCGCACGAAACACTAAAAAAGGCCACTCTCCACGCGAATCTCACCCGAGGACTGATGTAGCCGAGGTGAAGAGAAGAGATTACAGTCAGTTGGCGAGTGTTCAAACTTCAGAAAGAATACTTCCTCTGCCCTTTGCCACGATTACCAAACCACTTGATCGTAATCTAGAAACTGGACCTGTAGAGTCGTTCTTTGATGAGCTGTCCGGTTGTGTTGTTGTGTATCTCGCTAAGGTATGCAACAATAGAATTGTAACTCTTTATTATTAGCTGCAGGGGGTTAGAGTTTACAGTATTAAAACTGTATTACCGGAGCAAACAATGAGATATATTAAAACAATGAGATAGCTATCCATATTGTTATGACTTTGTTTTGTTTGTTAAGAAACTATAGAATGGATATATCATATGGAGTAAACATTCGTATGTCCTGCATTAGATTTGGATTTAAGTGCATACATGTACTAGCCCCATTCATTTACTTGATACAAACGAACTAAGTATATGTTTGACTGACTCTGCCAACATCTTCTAACCATCATGCGACATAAAAAAATTACTTTTTCTTCTATGAGCGTGAAGAGTAACGTCACGCTCATGACAATTCATCTCAACGTCCTAACACTTTTGCTTTAGAATCTATGGACACCCACATTCAAATTTTGTTAGATAGTGTGTCGTACTTTAGAACAAGAATTTCAATTTCTTTAGTTAATTATTATAACATGTATAAATCAACGTGTATACAACTAGTTGGTTTTGTCCTTACGAGAGTTATCAAGTTAACTTGTGACTTTTTATATACTCCTATTGTAAGTAGACTATTTGACATCTTAGTCTGAATATCTGTATGCAATGCATCTTCTTCGTTGTGATGTGTATGCACATAGCTTCATGTTCTCCACTCATCTATATATAAAGTGATGAAATTCTTGTATGTTTGTGTGATATGCTATCCAATCGGTTACTCTTTTCAATCAAGTTTCATGCAGTATCTTGATCTTTTGTTATCGTGATATACATAGACCATTAATATGAAATTTCTGAATCATGATTGTGCTTTTAAAACACATGTTTATGAAAACTAATGGTCAGCATGAAATGAAAAATGACTATTTTTCATAACTTGGAGAATGTTCATGTGTAGCATATTGAGTTTGTAAATTTTAACGCTTAAGTTTTGATAAAAGTAAAAATGATTGAGTAACATGTGTATCAAATAATGTTCAAGGAACCAAGATAAAAATCAATTGTAATAATGGAAAGGCTTACCAACACAAAATTTCAACGAATAGTATGGTCTACATTTCAATTGCATCACACTTGAAACTATATATTATAACACCGTACATATCCTAAGTAACCGAATGCAATTAATTATGTAATTTTCATCATACAAAAATATCCACATACAATGTATTAGTCGACTATGAATCACTTCAACTGATTTTCAACATACATCAAGTATAATTATGTTAATAAAACATATTAAAATTTAGATTTGAACAATATGTACAAAATTGAACATTTGGGTGTACTTTACATAATCAATATGAAAGTCGGTTATTTTACTTGATGGAAAAACAATCAACATGTAGAATTTAATAGATAATCTACATGATGTGAAACAATGAAACATGGAAATCAAAATTTAACTCCATCATTGTGAATTTAATAAATCCATCAAGCATTAAAGATAGCAATAACTTATATCATGAAAGCATTTTTTTAATTTTTGAACATAATAAGTCTGGTACGTTCAACATATTGATGTGCAAAGATGTAACAACATATCATATGAATGAATTGCTAAAAAAATCTACTGTTTACTTACAAAAAACTTGCATAGTTCTAGTCCAAAATGAGTTGGTTTCGTAGGTTTTTAATGTATTTCAAAACACAAATGCTGTTATTTTTTACTATCATTTGTTGGTATTTTTCTTAATTATTATAATCAAGAAATATAATCACATTAAAATATAAATCAAGCTTTATTTTCATGTCAAATTTTTGTTCATGCAAAAAAAATAAAATTATTTCTTTTTAGTAGACAAAAAATCTCCTATTTTTTATGAAATATGAAAAATAATGTTGTTTGCTAATTTATGAAGTTTGCTCTAAGATTGAAAACTAAAGTAAGGTTTGATTGTATAAATAGTCGCAAAAATGTTGTAGTATTATGTCTCAAAAACTCAAAAACTTTATGTATTTAGAGTGGTACATGCTTGATCATATGTTATATAATAATATATACTTGTTTTACTTATATTATAGAAAAATAATTTCTAAAAATTATAATAATTAAATGATTAGAATAATTTCATAAAAGATACAAAACATTCTTATATCATACAACAATTCACATGCAGATTATTTCAACCTGACATTGACAAATATTGAAAGAGACATTAGAAAAATGTGGTCGATTGGATGAAATAAGTTTCTTTAAATTCAACATAAGCAAAAGTGAATAACAAATTGATTGTATGTCATCAAAATCAATAAAGAATAAATCAATTTAAAACAAAGAAAGATATTTATTATTTTTACTAAAAAAAAAAGTAAAATATTTGAACCAAAAAGTAAACAATTCTTCTCATTATTTTATTTGCAAAAAATATTAAATTAATAATTATTATCATTACACTTCAATAATATTATTCAAATTACACAAATAATTGATTAAAATTTAATATTACTTATCATTTTTAATATTATTATAAAATAACACTAAATTTCACACTCTTCAGAATGCATATTTAAAAATAATAATAATCCGTTCATATTTGTTATCTTATTGATTTGATCTTATGAAAAAAACCCGATTTATCATACGTATGTATATTAATATAGAAATTACTTTATTTAGCAATCATATGGATATATATATATATATATATTAAATTCCATATAAAAAATAAATATTACTTTTCACACATGATATTTTTGAAGCAGAAATAAATAAATCAGTAATTTAATTGTATCAATTATAGATATATATATATATATATATATATATATTCAATTATAAAATATATAAAATTCAATTACGTGTGTATATATATATATATACACACGTAATTGAATTTTTATTTGTTTATACATGAAAATATGTCATAGAAATGAAATTTCATATAAGTGAATGAATGAAAAATATAAAATAAAATATAAATAAATAAAATGTTGATATTTCATTTAATTTATGAAGACATATATATGGATATCTACAAATAGTTCACTTATTTTGCTTTTATAAATGTTAAGCTTGTAGGTTAAAAAAGAAGAAGATTATAAATACATTTTATAACTTGCATTCAAACTGTGCATTCAAAAAAATCTAAATTTAATGTTTGGCACAAAAAATTGCTATATTTGATTTGATATTTAAATTTTATTATATTTAATTCATGTCAGATGGTTTCATTAGAATGAGATTTGCGAATTTATTCAATCTCATAATCTCAACATGATTATATATATATATATTATTTATTTTGAAATTTATGTAGACGTAAAATCTGAGAATCATCAAACGATCACAAGAGACACGTGGTTCACCCTGGGGGAAGATGTAACAGGAAGAATTTCTTGTATAATGATGTATAATTAGCTAATTTGAAGATCAAGATACCAAAAGTTAATCAAGTTTTAAATGAACATTCTCTTTAAATCTGAGAATCAATTAAGACCCGCCGTAGATGGTTCACCGTACCTTCGTACGGTGGGCTACGTCAACCAGGAACAATGATACACCTTTTACTCAAGGTTTGTCGAAAACAAGACAATGTACAAGGCAGAAGCTGGGGTATTTCACCCAAAGTCTAGACGTCGTATCAGCTACAAATAGCTAGGTCTAGAGGTTACTGCTTAACCGGAGTTAACCTCAACAAGTTAATCGATCATTTAAAACTTGATTAACTTTTGGTATCTTGATCTTCAAATTAGCTAATTATACATCACTATACAATAAATTCACTACTGGTGTGACTTGATATCGTTGCAATATAAATTTAGGATTTATTATGAAATAACATATGTCAATATGAATGTATACTTAACCGTACAAATCAGCTCTATTCATATTGATGTTTTTTTAATGTATTCATATGTTGGTTTTGTGAAT